TTGTTTATATGGCTTCTCAAATGAATCGAGACGTAACAGAATGTTTTCGTTTGCTGATTTGAATAGAATTCTTAACCAAGAATAACGTACTTAGGAATTCTATTCAAGTAATTTTGCATGCGTAATTAAGATATTTGATGAAAACACTAGTGACTTTCATCAAGTTTCACCGGGTTATCCAAATGGCATCTTCTGATCAAATAGGTGATTATCATTGGCTGAATTGCTCATGAATTATTAATGAATTTGAGAAGTAATATATGAAAACCTTTGCAATTCTTCCGTATGCTGTTTGGTTTTCGAAATATTTGGACCAAAATATATCCTTGCCTTTGGTTCAATATTCATAACGTCACAAATTGCGTTGGCACAAAATATTAAACAAACTTCTCCAGAAAGGCAGTCTTAGTTTTAACAGATTTACGTGAGTTATAACATCACCAAAGGCCTAGTTTATTGGTTCAAATATGAAAACAAGATGGCGGACTACTGGTCAAAATATCTCTAAAACCTTTCATGACATTCCCTATCCAACTCATTGCAATCATTCAAGAGCAAAACACGAGGGAAATCAGCACGATATCGTCGTCTTGACACCAGTCATAAAGTCCATACATTAACTCAATATATTTACCACGTATTTTTGTTAAAGCACTGGTTCGTTTGAGAGGTTATCCAGTGGCGGACACTAGAGAGGGAATAGAGGACTGAGGGGAGGGGACCCCCCGCTCCCAACAATTTATTAGAGCAAGCCTGAATAACTGTGTAACCGTAGTCTACAGACATGGTGTAGTCTGGACACTAAACAAAAGTAATTGTGTTAAGTTTTTGTCGGAGTTTATGCTAATTTGTGCATGGTCACGGTGATTGAGCTCATTGTATTTCCGTATAATGAAGTAATCGTCCAAAAGGGATAGCTGAGATGAAACGTGCAACCACGATGAATAATATTTAATGAAGTTGAGACAAAGAATTTGTGCATGGTGGAAGGTACAGTTCAATATCAAACAATGGCCTCCTGTTTTGTAGCTTTGAAGTTTGCCGTGGTTCTAGACCATCATATCTTGACAGACTACGGTGTAAGTTGTAAAAATACTTTTTCAACCATGACAACATTGATAGGCTATCCATTATATATTGTGTAGAAGTTAAGCCAAAAAAGTTTGAAGAACTGAGATTTCTAGCTAGAAAAGGTGATCATATGTTGGCGACCTAATTCACACCCCCGATATTTCGCAATCAGTCCGCGACTGGTTTTATCTATCTCAAATTCATGAATAATTAATATGAGTTAATCAAAGGAAATTACAGACAACTGTGACAGCAACCAACTGATTCATTTGAGAATTTGATATGTCAGCTGCGTCTCGGCCTGAACTAACTGCTTGGACTGGATATCCGGTAAAGTCCTCATAGTTTGCTAGAAACTCGGCTGGCGTCTCATTTTTGACCAATTACTTGTGTATCATTAAAATGCGTCCAACATTCTCTGTTCTGCGATTTTGTTATAGACAATCGAGAGGAGTGGCCTGGACACGCGATTGTTTTCAGACCTGGAAAAAGTGTTTAATGTTCCTTGGATCTTGAATTTGCATTTTTCTAATATTTCTCAAAAGTGCGTAAAAACAATGGAAAAGTTGACTGTGCATTGCTCCATTATGTATGCAACAACATACTACACTTGAGTGTATTTATGTTGCATGTCTCAAATGATAGATAAAGAAGTATGACATAATGATTGCTTAAGATTCTTCCATAACGTATGTGTGAAAAATTGAAAACGTTCCTCATCCTCACCTAGGGTTGGGCGATATTTCGATATTTTGATTTATCGCGATATTTTCAATCACGATTATCGTATCGAAGGTAGAAACTTGAGCGACGATGTATCGAAATTATCGTCATGCTCAATGACTATCTATGTGTATATAGCTGTTATAAAATTCTAAAAAATTCTTTTCAATTCCTAGAAAATATAGTTTTTAAAAGAATTAAAACTATTTATTTCCTGAATTAAATACAGTTTAATACGATACAAAAGCTAATATTTATGTATTGATCTGCTGAAATTGCAGACTTTGCTTGCGCTGTGTGCCCACGGCATTTGTGCCAGCGGAGACACAGTAGACAACTGCATAGACAGTTCTCAGTTCTCATGGTTTATGAACAGTAAATATTAGACTAGAAAAAGCCTTCATATTACTTTAATTTGTTGTTTTACTTGTTTTTAATAAGATTATATATAAGCTACTATGCTTTGATATTAATTAAAATTGAAAAAATGTGGTCATTGTTTTTATTGCATTTATCGCGATATTATCGAATATCGTGATAATTTCCTTGACAATAATCGTGAGATGATTTTTTTTAATATCGCCCAACCCTATCCTCATCAAGCCAAATATTCCTCAGGATCCCAAGATCCCACTGTTTTCCAGGTCTAACGTACCTTTTTCCCCAAGACAGCCAGTTCAACAGCTCTATCATACTGTCCATGTTCCATAAAGAACTGCGAACATCTTGTGAGCATTTCAGGATCTGTATTTTCCGTGAGATCTTCTGCCACCATTTGTAACGCTGAAAACTGCTCAGTCTTGAAACACAGGTCTAGAGCTTTCGACACCTCACCAGCCTAGAAAAAAATATAGTTTTAAACAAATTATATGGAACATGGTGGCGGCGAACGATATATCTTTACAAGTGGGTCTAAGCTATAGTCTGCCATGGCCAGAAATTACGAACATAATTTATTCTACTCCCTTACCAATGCATGATATTACTTTCAACTACCGCAGAGGGCAACCTCGTACCCACGGCTTCTGCGCTTGCGGTTACATGCAGCTTGAGCTACAAGCGCAAATCTCTTGGTATGAGGTTCACTAAAGGACACTCGGAGACTGTCCAGCGAATAAAGTCCTGTATCATGCATAAATCAAGCAATTTTAATACAACCTATTTTGATACAACTAATTTTCATTCCACAAAACGTTTTCCCACATAACATCCCACAAAGGCATGCATGGAAGAAATGAATGAGAATAAAAAATATAAGAGAAATAAAACGGAGCCAAATGCTCAATGAAGACCGGAAAGTTTTCCTTGACAAGTTTTAATCAATAAATATTTTTCGAATGTCTTGGAACCCCGTTATTCGAGAACTAATCTCTGTGTGGTAATTCCAGCCATGTAATCTATTGTGTAACTAATTTTGTGTCATAGTTTGTGTTAAATGGCAAAATCTGTAAAATAAATAATTAAAAACCTTGTGGTAGAGGATCACTGCCTTGTCCAACATATTTGAGTTGCTCTCGTAATATCTAGTGAGGAAAATAAAAAATCAATTAATTGCATGGTTTATTAGTCCTTGTATATAGTGCCTTAACATATAACAGTAGTGTCATTTAGTCACGATCATGCAGTGATCGAACGTTCCATTGTGTTTTTATTGTTTTGAGAATCCCACTGTTCTCCATGCCATTCTGTTACGATGCAGTGGTTGGAGAGTTTCATTGTTTTCCCATTTTTTTTTTTAAATCCCACTGTTCTCCACTCTCCAGGCTATCAAGCAACGAGCTAGTGGTTGGAATGTTCATAGCATAGATATCTTATATACACTAGATAGTGCATCTAATTATTCTGCAATTCAAAAATTGAAGCCGTGATTGCAGACTCAGGTCGTTCCCATGAAATGAGAAGATTCGTATGTTTTCTATTTCTTAGACAGGTAACTTAAACATTAAGTTAACCCTATTCCAAATACGTTTTTAAACTATTCAAATGATGAAAGTTATTGTTGTTTTTAAGCGTTTATTAGCAAGTGGGAACGACCAACATGGCCGCCATCTATTCAAATGGGGGTAACCGCTGGAATATTCTTGGCTTCAATTTTACTAAACGAGATGCGCTATCTAGTGTATATAAGATATCTATGGTTCATAGTCTACACATCGTATTGAAAATCCCATGCCATCCAATCGTTTATGTGATAGAAATACATGTGTGCAGCAACCTGTCGCTTACATTTTCCAAACATTGATTTAACTACACTAATTGGCCAATACTAAACGCAGGCACCCGTTGGCGTCAAGTGTTGCCATTACAACACGATATTTTTAAGTTTCTACAATATTTTTTGTACAAAACAGCAAATTAGTTGAAAGATTAGTACGCTTAACAAACCAACAATGAATTTCCGAAACGTAAACTGTAGGTATGTTATTAAACTGGACTTTAGGGCTATTTTTCTTGCGTTTCCTCCGGTGATTTTTTTTAAACTTTGCACTCATTTGCTGAGCATTACGAATTTGGTAAAACAACAAAATTTCAAGAAATTCTACGGACGGATTTTCTGTAGTCGTTGTTCATGGATATCTCAAAACCTGCCTTGTAAACCTCCCCTTAAATTTTGATATGTCTGTTTCAAGATATTCTTCTTCTATCAACCATAAATTTTCAAAAAATGTCCCCTGGCCCGTGTAATACGGAATGGCGTAAATTTCAGCCCCTTTCCTCACCGAACAATAATGTTTACCTTGCAACATCAATCATGTCTTGAGGTTTACTGAGTAGCGCCAAGTTCATCAACTCATTATCCATGCCATTGTCCTGTGGGAAAAAAAGGAGACAAGTTTCATATTAACCTGTTCGTAATGGACCATTTGCATTATAGACTAAATTTTGATCTAGACAATTTCATCACAGCTTGAAAGAGCATCACAAAATTAGTAATATTCCAGAGTTTCGTTGCGAAATGTTGTAAAATGCGGATAATATAGCCTTGCGAAATTTGCAATTTTCAGTCATTTTGTATTACAAACGGGAAAGTCGATGCCCCAACACCCGATTGGGCTGTCAATTTCCCGTGCGTAATACAAAGTGACTGAAAAACGACAAACTTCGCAAGGCTATATTATCCGCATTTTACAACATTTCACAACGAAACTTTGGAATATTACTAATTTTGTGATGCTCTTTCAAGCTGTGATGAAATTTTTGTCTAGATCAAAATTTAGTCTATAATGCAAATGGTCCATTCTGCCGGCCAGCGCAGTTGTGAGAGCAAGCGCCTTTCAATTCTGATATCTTGGTTTCGATTCCCAGTGCAAACGCACGACATGCACTTATGTGAAAAAAGTCAGTCAACGCTCTACCGAAAGTCGTAGATTATCTCTGGGTACTTCGGGTTCCTCCCACAGGGAATTGACGATTCCCCTTATTACGTTTTCGTAGCGCTTTGCATTGTGGTTATGGTGGTATAACTGATAAAGATAGCGGCCTCGAATGAAAATATTGAATGTTTTCGCGAATATTTTGCTGTTGGCTATCGCGCACCTGACCCTGGCTTTCTTTAAAAGTTCTTGCACGAGTCAGGACAAAAAATAAGCCATCCTGAATATCAATGATATCACTATAACCACAATGCAAAGCGCTACGAAAACGTAATAAGGGCCGGACCATTAGATATTTGATGGGGGGGTTGTGTAAATCCCAAAAAAAATATCGAGCAAGCACTTATTGTTACGAAAAAATATCGAGCAGGACAAATGCGCACGAAAAAAATATCGAGCAGACCATCCAAGTTTCCACCCTCGTGATTGTCAGAAGTCTCTCCTCCGCAGAGGCTTTTGAAGAAATTAACCTGAATCCATAATATATAATCTTTTAATTAAATATTATTTTTATAACAATTTGAAAGACTTTAATAAAAGACTTTAAATAATAGAAGCGTCATATAAAAATATGTGAAATGCGCTAGACGTGGTTGCAAACCTGCACCTGGCTTTGGCAAAGACTGCCGCTGAAATCTAGAGGGTGGGCGTCAGAGAGAAGATGCTGGCTTTTTGGCTTTTAATATTTTTAAAATTTCCTCAAATCTCTAGTGGTATATTGTCACATGACACATGCACAATTTTCAGGAACTCATGCATGGTCCCCCATCATGTGCAAAGAAATAAAGCGTACGTGCGAGCAGAATGGGGTGTAACATTTTGAAATTTTAAAATTTGGCTACTAGAATTAAAACCTTTTTGTGAGAATATCAGAATAGCTCGAATATAATATTTTTGATATTAAATATATATACTCTGTTATTATCAATAGACATAATTTTTCATCTTATATACCAACAACAACTCTAAAATAGCAACAACAATAGTAGATAAATATATGTACATGTATATATAGTTGTTTATATATTAATATATTAATACAAGAATACAAACAAAACAATTAACAAATGTATATATCAAACAGTTTTTCAATCTTGCTCCTCTGACATTGATTCTGAATCTGAATCACTGATTTCATTAATCAGTGTAGTTGTTTTATAATCACCATCCTTGGCTTGACTTGCACGTGCGGACATACTTGATTTTCCACTTTTTCTTTTCCACTTTGCACTTTTGTACACAATTGAATACCCATGGTTCTCTCTGGCTGCATCCATGCACTCACGAGCCTGTTGTGCCTTTTCTTTGATGGATGTGTCGATCTCAATAAGTCGAGGTCTTATATTCTTTGATAGGAAATCCAACTCATCCTTGTAACCTATATTAAAGTGCATATAAAGCAACTATTAAAGTTCAGAAGCCAATTTTAAATTTTTCTCCCCACCCCAAGTCCTGATTCGAGATTAATGTATAAATGTATTAACCTATATGGCTAACCTTTCCAATTTGTGTGTTAATATAGGTCTATTTTCTACTATAAAAATACTATCATCTCTTCTGAAAAGTGGAAACTACTGTACCTTTTTTGAGTACTCCAGCAGGGCTGCATTTAGCCATCTCAGTATCACACTTCTGTAGGGTATTGGTTGAAAAGGTGCTGACCTCTTCAAGTTTTGCAACATACTGGCAGATATTTTCATACATGGCTTTTGATGGCACATTGGATGATTCCTCTCTGACTCTGTTTTCCAAAAATGATGCTACTGCAGGGTGTTGCCTTTCTAATATTTCACACTTTCAATACTTTGCGACTTGTAGTATTGATTCCACGTTGAAATCACAGGTGTTTTTGGCAATGCCAGCAAAAAAGAACTTCGTGTTGACCTTTGTTTTCTGCACCATAATTCACAGTTACGGAGGGTCTTCTCAAATTGCATCCGTTGTTCTGCCATTTGTAGAATAAATGAGTTGGAGAATATTTGAGTTGAATTGACAGGATTCTCATACCATAGAGCCTTGTACTTTCTCTTTAAGGATTCAATAGAGACGACTATGTTCCCTTGTCCATCTCGTGTCCCAAAGAAATTACTCAAAGAGTTGGGCAAGGATATGACTGTAGATGCCGAAGATGTTTTGAATGCAGCAACACTTGTTTTGGCATTACCAATTTTCGCACTTTCTTCTTCACTTCTCCAAGTAGTGATCTCACGTTGAAGTCGTCTCCATTCAAATACTGTCAACTAACATGTCAATATCCTTTTCATGAATATCCTGTAGGTGTTCAATTTGACTCAAACCATTTGATTGGAAATTCTTAAACTTGTCTTCGAGTGATAATTTTTTAAGAAATGCTTTCAATTGATTCTCCTTGCCTTCTACTTCTAATTCAACAGGAAGATCAACAACCCCAGACATCAAACATCAATTTTAATAACATATATTTGAACATATATTTGAAAATTCACTATTTAAAATGTCCAATTGATGAATTTAGCATTTTATTATTTTTATATATTATTACAGTTTTGAAGTATGCATATTAAAATATGCATATTTAATACATATAATGATTATATTGATTTTGAAAGTTGAGAGAAAAAAAATATCGTGCAAGGACACAGAGGTAATAAAAAAATATCCTGCTTGTCTGAACGACGAAAAAAAAATATCGAGCAGTGTGGAAAATGCACAACCCCCCCATCAAAAATCTAATGGTCCGGCCCTAAGGGGAATCTAGTATTGTGATAAGCCCCCCGACCCACCATAAGATCAGACACGAGTCATAAGGTGGCTGCCAGAAGCGCCTTAGCTTCGACTCGATCATGGAGCTTTTGATTGTGAAATTATATCTTTTAGGTACCAGATGATCTTGATACGCGGAAAAGTACTGGCACTAGTTGTCAAATAGAAATCCATTTTATGATTAAAACAACTGAATATCTCCTGTAATATACTTTATTTCGATTCCATACTTTTGTCAGAGCTATTATAACCAAACATAATTACAAAATGTCAACTAGTTTCATAAAGAATAACGAAAGATATAATTGACTGAATACATCAAAATGGATTTCTATTCGGACAACCCTTTCTGAGCGCTGATTGGCTAAAATACGAACACGAGATCACCTGGCCTATGTAATACACTGGAAATATTTTTCAAAATTCTTACTATGGAAATAGCATGGATCTTCGTTGGAAATAGTACGGAAATAATATATGTAAGTCCGTAGTATGGTTTTCACTTGGCTCGGGTCAGGCAGTTCATGAAACGTTGTCTGCTCTTAGGTCAAGGAGACATGCATGGACTCTGACAGACCGCCCACTCAAGGGCGAGATGAAACATACAAATCAATCAAACAAAACGCGGACAAAACCCGGTTGAAAGCAACAAATCGCTGTGATAAAAACTTTGCCGTGGAGGTAATATACTCGCATTGTATATAATCAGGACTGATACTGGGAGTTGTTAGCCTGAAAGCAGGCTAAGTTATTAAAACTACATGAACACTAGGTAAAGCACATGATGGTATCGAACCCATGCAAGGATGACAGGTGACCCAGACATGAATTGCTCAGACGATCCTGCGCTTGGGGAGGTCTTCCCCGAAATCGTTTTCGAAAATAATTGTTTTGTGGATGTTGAGTGTGCGATTGCGACCCGCTTAAGCTGCCTTGTAATGTCTGTTCACTAATGATTCGAATCTTACCAGGTTCCTTATTAGGCTATTGTCTTTATGGTATGCTGCTTCATTCTTGTCATTTCCGATAGTTTTGTGGTTTGCAATTCCTGTCACCTCAGTAATTAAGGGCAGACCACCCTTCCACTCTTGAGTTGTTGTTTCAGTATTTACGACATTAATAATCGATTTAGGTTTTCTTGAGTTGTACTTACATGACTCAAATACCTCGACATTAGAATG